TTGAATATTTTCGCATAAATATTCATTAGTGATATTGGTCTATAATTTTCTTTTCTTGTTGGGTCTTTTCCTGGTTTGGGGATCAGGGTGATGTTAGCTTCATAGAATGTGTTGGGTAGTATTTCGTCTTTTTCTATGTTTTGGAAAAGGTTGTGTAATATAGGTACTAGTTCCTCTTTAAAGGTTTGTTAGAATTCTGACATGAAGCCACCTGGTTCTGGACTTTTCTTTTTAGGGAGATTTTGTATAGTTGATGCTATTTCAGAACTTGATATAGGCCAGTTCAACATTCCCACTTGATTCTGACTAAGTCTTGGGAGGTGACATGCTTCCAAGTATTGGTCAATTTCCTTCAGATTGTCATATTTCTGTGAGTAAAGTTTCTTGTAATATTCATTAAGGATTTTTTGAATTCCCATAGGGTCTGATGTTATTTCTCTCTGGGAGACTGATCCATTTTTGCTTTCCATTTCTTTTCATTTTTGAGCACTTGGGCATGTTCTCATGTTTTGTCTTCAATGTCAGAGATCCTTTCTTCTGCCTGCCCCACTCTGTTAGCAAGAGAGTCTACTGAATTTTTCAGATCTTTGAGGACTGCAAACTCTTGCCTCAAAGTGTTAAAATATTTGGTCATTTTATCTTTAAAATTGTTGAGTTCTTGAGACATCTTTTGAATAATTTCTTGAAATTCTAATTGCCTCTTTTCTTCCATTCTGTTGATCTTGTGTGCTATCCAGACTCAGAACTCGATTTCTGACATCTCAGCCATTTGCTTATGAATGGGATCTTGTGCTTTATCTATCAAATTGTTCCTTGGGGCAGTTGATCTACTCTGATTATTCATGTTGCCAGAGTTTTTCTGCAGTTTCCGCCCCATGTTTATTTTTCACCATTTGCTAGATGGGCAGATAAGGTGAAATTGGGTTGGGAGTTTCTAGGGTTGTAGTTAACCAGCCCTTTGTCAAGGATCTGGGACTGATGGCTGCAGCTTTTTCCCTACAGCTTTACAAAAAACTCGTATACTATTACAGTCTGAGGATAAGGAAACCTGCTTGATGTGGTGGGGTTAGGTGGCTCTGTCTTATGTACAGCTGATTCTTGTCCGATCCTAGTGGATCAGTGACTCTGGTAGAGTCTTAGCTATGGAGAGATGGAAGTAATTAAGACAGCCTACCCCCTGTGATATCTTTTGGAGGAGGAAAATCAACCCTTCCCGTTTCTACACAACCAGGGTATCACCTGATGGGACCCTTGGGAAATTGGCCCAGGTTACGAGTTCCAAACCAATCTACCCAGTATGTTATGTATGAACGCTCAAGTGGGAGAGTTCAAAAGGTCTCTAGCAACTAGAAGGCAGAGGTCTGCTAGCAGCTGAAATTTGGCTCGTTCCCATGCTCTGTGCAGTCAAAAGGCTCACCTGGTAGCAGGGTTGGAAGAAGGGTCTGAGTCTCTTTCTCCCCTTTGCTCCTCTTTCATGACCAGTCGATGGTGGGCCAGCAGGGCTGAAGTCCTGCTCCCTCCAATGACCTGGTGTACTGGGAGTTTGCGCCTGTCAGAGTCAATGGAAGGTCAATGCCCCTGCAGCCCAGCTACTACCCTCTGCTGCCAGTCAGTTAGGGGAACTGAGGCCTGCCCACCTCAGGTATTCAGTAGGGAGTGGCTAATGTTCCACTTGGTCTCAGTCTAATAATGAGGGTAGCAGATCAGCAAATACTTTTCTCCCACAGCCACTGAGCCTTTGCCCCTGCCACTCTGCAGCACTGGTATCTGTATAGAGTGAGTCTGGTTTCCTCTGGGAGACTGCAGAGTTGGGGAGATGTCTCTTCAAAATTAGGCCCTGGTGGGCTCGCTCTATTGAGGTTGGATCTTTGTGGGAAGTGACCCTGTGTAGCTCCCAGGGCGACTGCTGCAGTCAGGCAGTTCTAACTGTAGGAGCAACTCCAGGAGTGCAGGTACAGGGATCCAGCAGCAGGACTGAGGAGGCTGCAGAAATTCTGGTAGTCCCTGGTAGTCCCTGGTGCCCGGTGTCTTCAGCAAGGTGAGCGCTCTACTTAGGAGTCTGGCCAGATGGGGGAGCGGCACAAAGTAGAGTGCTGAGCTCAGGAGTCTGGTCGGGCAGGGGTGTAGCACAGAGGTTGGGAGGGTGTGGGGAGGCAGGGAGCAATGACCGGAAAGTGCCAGCAGTTCTGGTAGTCCCAGGCTGGCCGGTTGTGTGGGGGAGGAGGGGCCAAACACTGGGAGCACAACCCGAGTATTGCCAACTCTGGCAGTCACAGGAAGGCTGGCTGGTCCCAGAAATCACAGCCCAAGGTGCCCCAGCTCTGCCGGTCACTGGTGGGCCGGCCAGGCACCAGGAGTTCAACCCGGAGAGCACCGGCTCTGGCAGTCACAGACAGGCTGGGTGGTCTTGGGGAGCACAACCCAGGGTGCCAGCTCTGGCAGTCACAGGTAGGTGGGCTGGTTGTGGGGAGCACAACCTGGAGCGCTCCGGCTCTGACGGTCACAGGCAGGCGTGCCAGTCATAGGGAGTGCAACCAGGGCGCGCAGGTTCTGACAGAAACAGGCGGGCCTGTGGCCAGGAGCACAACCCAGGGCACAGGGGCTCTGGCGTCATAGGCTGGCAGATGGGGAGGGGGCGGCTCTGGCAGTCCCAGATGGGGGGCTGGGCAGGGGACGGGGAGAAGGATGCAGGAGTGGCAGGGAGGGGCCGGCCCATCATGGGGGCTAGGTGGGGTGAGGGGCCGGGTGTGGGGAGCACAGCCTGGGGAGCGAGTACTCTGGCAGTCACAGGCGGGCCAGCAGCAGGGTGCTTGGTCCAGTAGGGATGGGAGACTAAGCTCTTGAGCGTCCTCTCACAGTCTATGCGGGCAAGGGGGAGGGGTGGACTGGGAGTTCAGAATGGCAGTGAAAAGGTTTGTTCAAATTTTCTGCCTGGGAGAGAATGTTCGGAGTCTCTCAGAATTCCTCTAGTAAAATAGACCCCACTTCCTATAGCTCTTACATGTGGGGTGAGACAATAGGTCCCCAGTTCATGGTTCACCTATAGAAAACCTGTAGAAATTGGCTTTCTTGGAGTCACAGCCTGCCTCAGCAGGGGTGACCTGCAGATATCACTTTTCTCTCTCAGCTTGGCTCCCAGTCTTCAGCTTAATCAGGTATTTTCTGGACTTTATCCTTCCTTCTGGACTGGAGCTTCTGTCAGAGGCTGACTCCAGTCCACCATCTTGCCCCTCCCCCCTAACATTCCATAGGTGGAATCCTCTGCAGTAGCTACCTCATGATCCCTTGGTCTATTCAGGTTTTTCATGTTGCCAGGATTTTTCTGTTGGTTCCTCTTCATTAATGCTTTCTTCTTTCCCCCTTTCTTCCACTTTCTTTATATCTTTAATTTACACTGTCTCTGTGCATAGGTGTTGAAGTACCCTTTAGGGATAGGACCAAAAAGAAGAGAATAATGAAGAGCAAGAAGGGAGAAAAGATAGAAAAAGAGAAAAGAAAAAGAAAACAGGGGGAGGAAAAGTAAAGAGTGACAGGCAGAAGAGAAGAACAGAGAGATACAGGAGTAACAATGGTGTTCAACAGGATGCTTTGACCCACGCCTGCAATTCCTGGCCTCTGGAGGGCTGGAATGGGTGGGTTCTTTGAGGTCACGAGCTCCTTTCCAGCCTGAGCAAAACCAAGACTCTACCTCTACCAAATAGAGAAGAAAAAACCTCAGGAGTTTTTTGTAATGGGGATCTATTGATAGCATCCTTACAAAGCCCCAAGCTAGACAGACATCCTAGACCAGAGGATCAAGGTCTCCTAGAGCCAGGCCAAGGCTGTGGCACCCCAGCCTAGGCCTCAGAGTGAGACTCTGGTCCATAAATGGAATGCAGATTGAGAAAGAATAAAATAGATCAGAAAAAACAAATAATAATAATGGTATATAAAAAAAATTGAAAATAAAATTACATAAAATGTAAAAATAAGATGGAGGTATGTTTTAGTTGTTATTTGAGAAATTTATGTGGGAAAGATAGGAAAAGTAGAAAAATCTTTACAAACATAGTAAAGGAGAGAAATAGAAAGAAAAGAATGAATAAAAGGGGTAGGAAAACTGCGGCAAACATGGAGCCCTTAATATTGAAGAAAATAATAATACAATCAAATGAAATAAAACAAAGAAACAAAAAAACTTAAGGGGAGAAATTGGAAAAGAAAAGAATAACAGGACCAGGAAAACTGTAGCAAAAATAGAGCCCTTACTATTGAAGAAACAAACAATGAAAAATTATGAATGCAAATAAAAAGAAAAAGAAAAATCTAGAGGAAAAGGTTTAAAAAAGTTTAAAAAGGAAAATTTTCTATATACAAAATATATAATATGTTTACATATAAAATATAAAAAAATCATTTTATATATAATATATATTTATATATTTGTATATATAAATTTTATATATACATTATATATTTATATATGATTATATTATATAAAATTATTATCATAATTATACTTTATGTTTTATATATAAATATATATTTTATATATATAAAATTTTACTTTGTGAACATTTTTTCAACCTTTTCCTCCAGATGTTTCTTTTTCTTCTCTCTCTCTCTCTCTCTATATATATATATAAAGCCTGGATAACAGATGAAATTTTGGGTTATGAGATGCTAATCATAAGGCTGATATAGCTGTGTAAGGTGGAGGCTAGAAGGCTCTGTCTTGCGGAGGAGACCTGGTCTTATCTTCCTGATGTCTTTTCCCTGAGGCCCCCCTCAATTAGGATTCTGAAGCTCTAATCAGCCTACCTAATAGACATGCTTTGACCTTTACAAACTGTGTCCTTTGGCCACGCATTGGTTTTCCCAGGAAAGCATTTTAAGCTCAAGTCTTTCCACAGGTGGCTGCCCTGCTCAGCAGGTGCTCCAGAACCTGCCTGGCATTAGAACCCAGAGGGCTGGCCTCCACAAAGCAGCTCTCTCATAATGGCTGCCTCCTCTGCAGCTGAAGACAAGAGCTGCCCTCCACCTGGTGGCTCATTCCCAGCCCCAGGGCACTGTTTAAGATCTCTTGCTTGCCCAAGGTGATTTCCACCAAGTGCCCGGATTTATCCTCCCAAAAAGAAAAAGAAGGAAAAAGTCCTGTCTGAAAACTGCCACCGAAGGAGTGGGCCTCTGCCTGCATGCAAGCACGTGCCTTCTTTGTCTATTTTCCACCACTCCTGGCCTCTTTGTTGGCTCCTGACATCTCCCGAAGTGATGTTTCTGGGCAGAACCCCCCAGGCAGAGGTGGCTGGAGTCCTTTCTCCCTACTCTCACTAAACTTGGATGCAAAAATGATGTCTCTAGTCTAGTATCTTCTGAATTTTACACATTAAAGAGGAAACTTCATGGAATGTGAACTATGTTGGAAGTAAAATCGGTAGCACTTGCTCATCCATTGAGGTTACATTTCAGGATCCCCAATGAATACCTGATATCATGGACAGTACTGAACTCTATATATAATATATTGTGATACAGTTTAATTTATAAATTATACAATAAAAGATTAACAATAACTAATAATAAAATAAAAATTATAATATACTGTAATAAAAGTTACATAAATGTGGTCTTTATCGTTTTCTCTCTCAAAATATCTTGATATTTTGGATGGTTGTAATTGGTTGCAAGTAACTCAAACTCAGAAAGGAAAACAGTGGATACAGAGGGGCTACTGTGGAAGCAAGCATCTAGGGGTTGTAAAAGGCATTTGGGAACATTCTCTCCACAAGAAGCAGGCCTATAATACTCTTTCCTATAGAATGCTAATTTTATTTAAAAATGGCACAGGAAAAATAAAAACTAGCATGTATTAAGCAATGCTAATCTCAGGAGTATTGGTCATTTCAATTGTCTTTTTCATATTTATTCTGTATAATAGGCCAACCTTATTTTACATATCCTATAAAGAAATGGAAAAATAAACAAAATAAAAACTCTGAACATGTCATTGGTAGGAATTTTAGCTGGACAGGCTGCAGTAAGTTAATGTTCTATAGACCCCATTCTGTTCACAGAGACAACCAGGTCAATAGAAATTTCTGCCTCAAAATTCAAGTTGACCTAAGTGTAAACCTGTTGATTCAAAGTGTCTGCCAGTTTTGTGGTGCAGTTAGGGTAAAGATCAGGAATGAACGGGTCTTTTGTTTAAACAGGACTTATGATAGGCAGTGTCTTTGTCACCCATAAACCCTTAGGCCACAGTCTGGAAGCTGGGGATTGAAGTGAGGAAAAGAATGATGACACTGGTAATAATGGAGAGGTCTGCTTTCAGGGCTTATTTCAGAATAAACCTTTGCAGATTTTCATAGCTGTTAGGAAGATATTTCTGTTTAGCATGACTTGGTTTAGACAATTTAATCTCTAAACTCTAATTTATTTTTCAGAAGTATGTGTGTGTGTGTTTTCCCCACAGGGCACCCATAGTCAAGATGAGAATGTCTTAGTATGCTCACACAGAGAATGAGGGGTCATGCCTGCTCTTGACCCTGGCAGAGGAGCCTCAAAAATATTGAGAATTGGAACCCCAAAGGCTAATCTGGATTACTGTTGTTCTAGATAACAATTTTGTAATTGTTATTCTAGATGAAATTATTCAGATCTAAAAGCTGGACTTCTGCCAGTTGTTGTGTCAAGACAAATGCTAGGGCAAGCCGTACCCAGTGGTGGTGAGGAGTTTGGGTGTCCATAAGTGAACTGAGGGTCTCTTTGTGAAGAATTGGAATGTGACCCTTTTTTTTTCTTACGATGGTAGGTTTAATATTATTTGTATTTTGCTACATTTTAAAAAAGAAAGAAAACCATAAAACCTCTAAATCAAGAGAGGCCTTCCCAGATGCTCTTGTGCACCATAGTGACCACCTTGGAGATCCTAACACATGTCAGGTAATGAATTTCAGAGATGGACTCTCCCCAGACACAGGAGCCTGGGCAGGTACACCAGGCCTGAAGAGCCAGCCTAGATTCCCTTCCCTGGTTCCAGAAGAAAATGCCAGGAATGAGGCCTTGCTCCCTGAGTACGCTTGCCTTCTGCTGACTGTGTCCTTTAAAGGAAGGTCTCTAGCCCAAGCCTTGCTCTTGAACCCTCCCTTTTTTTGTTGACACAGTCTCACTCTGTGTCACCGAGCCTAGAGTGCCATGGTGTCATAGCTCACAACAACCTCAAACTCCTGGGTTCAAGCAATCCTTTGGTCTCAGCCTCCTGGGTAGCTGGGACTACAGGTGCTGCCACAGTACTCAACTCGTTTTTTTCTTCTTTTAGTAGAGATGGGGTCTCCTGCTGCTCAGGCTGATGTCAAACTCCTGTACCGGCCCTGGCCTCCCAGAGTGCTAGAATTACAGGTGGAGGGAACAGAGAATTGATCCTAGGACAAGAATGGAACTTAACAGGGGTTTTCTTTACTCAGTTGGACTCCCAACACATTTATATAGAGAATTCATGGTTTTATCTTAGTTTTTATTTTTCAGTAGACAACAAAGACATATAGCACACAAGTTAAAAGTCACACATAGAGTGTACAGTGAAAGGAAGCCTTCCTCTTTCCCAGCCTCCTCCAGCCAGCTGTCCCTAGGAGCAGTCCTTGGCACCAGGCATTTTTCCAGGGGCACTTCCTTGAGTTAGCTTCAAACCTTGAGTAGAGAAAGATACACCCACAGTTTCCGGTCAATGGTGTTATGAGAACTGAGGGCTGAGACAGGGAAGGAAGTGCAATAGTCTCGGTCTGATCTGGGGTGGGGCCGGTCACAGTGCAGGAGTCTGGGGTGGTACCAAGCACCAAGGTAGGCAGAGCCTATGGTATGGCCTTGGGGAGGGAACCATTAAGGGGCACTGCAAAGACATAGGCTGCAGTGTGCAGTGACACTGATCTGACATGAGGCCCAGACTATCTCAAAATGTACCACGTAAGATGAACAACCCTTGAAGAACTGAGGTGGGGGGAAGCCTCCATCCTGCTCTTACAAGAATGGAGGTGAGCACTTGGCAAACTTGGGGACCAAATCATGAAACCAGCCCCCCATAGGTACACATGTAATACAGAGTACTGAGCCATCAAAGCTACAAAATTATTTTCTCCTACAACCTTGGACTTCTGTTGATCTCCCTGCATTCTTCCCTCCCCTTTCACCTCATCTCTGCTGCTCCCACCCTTATTAGTGTGCTTCCTGCATTACTGCATCACTTATCTCTATCCCAGGAGAGTTGCATGTTAATAAGAGCAGCCTCATTTGATTCTCTGAGGACACAATTTGGTGGCTATTTAAGGCAAGTCATTTAACCTTCCTGCACTGTAATTCCCACATCTGTGAAACTGATGACTATTTTCATATTTCTCAGGCTTGCTGAGTACAGCAATTAGAAAACACTCAGCAATGTGAAAAATAATGTAGAAAGGTTCTGTTCTCTGCTTTTCCAAAGACTTTGCCACTAAGAAAGCTGCCAGTCCTTGCTTTGGGAAAGAGGGGAGCTACAGACTAGGAGCTGCAAGATGTTCTCAATGCAGAATGACTAGTTCTGGAGGAGACAGACTATGGGAGATTCTGCTGGTCTTACAAGAGGAGTGCAAGTCTAGAAGGACCTCTTTCTTGATAGATTAGATAGATAGAAAGAGAAAGAGAGAGAGAAGGAAAGAAAGAAAGAAAGAAAGAAAGAAAGAAAGAAAGAAAGAAAGAAAGAAAGAAAGAAAGAAAGAGAAAAAAAGAAAAGTGGGGGATAAAATAGTACAGCCATCATGGAAAGCAGCATGGAGGTTCCTCAAAAAACTAAAACTAGAACCACCATATGACCTGACAGTCCCACAGCTGGGTGTACTATACATGCAAAGGAAATGCAACCAGTATGTTGGAGAGACGTCAGCACCCCCATGTTCACTGCTGCATCATTCTCAATAGCTGAGATATGGAGAAATCAAAATGCTGATCAACAGATGAATGGATAAAGAAAACAGTGTGCTGGGGTGGCACCTGTGGCTCAGTCAGTTGGGTGGTGGCCCCATATACCTAGGGTGGTGGGTTTAAACCGGCCCCTGCCAAACTGCAACAAAAAATAGCCAGGCGTTGTGCCAGGTGCCTGTAGTCCCAGCTACTCGGGAGGCTGAGGCGAGAGAATTGCCTAAGCCCAAGAGCTGGAGGTTGCTATGAGCTGTGATGCCTGATGGAATGAGACTCTATCTCTTAAAAAAAAAAAAAAAGGAAACGAAAGAAAGAAAACATTGTGCACACACAGTAACAGACTATTCTGTGTAAAAAAGAATAAAATCTTGTCATTTGTGGCAACATGGATGAGACTGGAGGACATTATGTGATGTGAAATAAGCCAGGCACAGGAAGACAAGCATTTCATGTTCTTCTCTTGTGAAAGCTAAAAAAGTTGACGTCACAGAAGTAGAATAGAGAGTAGAATGGTGGCTCTTAGAGGCTGGGGAGCATAGTGAGGAGTGTAGGCGGGGAGAGTTTAGTTAGAAGGACGAGATCACAGACAGGAGGACTAAGTTCTAGGGCTCCATAGCATTGCAGAATATCCAGGGTTAACAATAATTTATTGTATATTTCTAAATGGTGAAGAAAGAAAGTTCAGCATGTTACCAACATGAAGAAATTATAAATGTTTGGGGTGATGGATATGCTAATCCTCTGATTTGATCATTATACATTGTATGCAGGTATCAAAATATCACCTGGTACTCCTACAAATATGTACAATTATTATATGTCAATTAAAAAAAGTAATTTATGGGAAAAAGAAAACCAGGAAAGGAGAGATGAGTCTGGTGGAGCTGGCCGCTGGGAGGGGCAGGACTGCCTCAGAGCTGCAGGTGGCAGCACCCCAGGCTGAGAACCCCAAGCAGTCTGCTGAGGGCAGAGCCTGTGCAGGGCTGAGTGACACGCAGTGGCCTTCAGCACATTTCCTCAGTAACTGTAGAGGCTAAATGAGGAAAAGTAGAAATGGAACTTGGTCATCTGCATAGTGCAGTTTCATGTGCCACGTAGGTGAATTTTATTATTTTCCTATTATTTCACATTTTCTGTTAATAGTATATTTTAATTATACAATCAGAAAAAAATAGCTTAAAAGATACTTTTAAAA